CGCCAACCCGCGGGAGGAGCCTGTGAGGCCGGCCAGCCGCCTGCTCACAGAGCCCTCTGCTCCCGCCGTCACACTGACCGCTGCAGCAACAACGGCAGGGGAAAACACAGCTAAGGTTTTCATACCGCTTATCTGTCTTTACATTCTGAGTAATGTTGAAACGTTTTAACTTAAAAAAGAGAAAGCTGTGTGGATCGCTGGTGTGTGTGTTGCATTGAACATTACGTCGCGGCAGTTGTGTGTGGCGTCGCTATGACGACAAGCTATATACCATCTCTGGGTACCATCTGCAATGGAAAACGGAGCAGGGCCGAGTAGAGTCGAGTCTATCGATCTGCACTATGGAAGCATTTTTCGGCAAGGCAGCATAGATCGTCAGAACACCGGCAACAGTTCAACGTTTAGTCCTGATGTTAAGATGTGGAACAATGATGTTGTGTGGTTGTGGACTTGAGTAACTTATACCATCTGCTAGGTTACGGTCTCAGTCTGAAGCGGCTTTGATTCGGATCACACTACCTTGTTTCTTACAACCCGCCCCTTCTCTGCTTCTGATTGGATAGTAGTCCTTACCTGGGAACTGCGCATGTGCAACTCCCAACAAAGATTTTTTACAAGATGCATCACTCTGTAGCTCAAGAGCGGAGCGTACAACACACAGGGTGAAAAGAGGAGCTGCAGCAATGTGCAGTATGAGAAAAATATGGTGTTTTTTGAAAATTAAACCATGTAAACTTGTTCAGGTACAACCCCTAATTAAGATTTGGAACCTGAAAATGAGCATAATCCCACCTCTTTAAGCAAAAAATGATTATTATCTATCTGAAACAATTCCCCCCCAACTTTAACTAAAGTGCTTTTGTTACTAAAACCTAACCACAGATGGGGCTCAGGAGTCAAAGTCCTGTGCATTGTAAACCACCATCCACACTGCCTGTGAACATAATCCAGACAGTGATTATGTTCGTCAGCACACCATAAATTTAAAAACAATTTAGTAATATATACATAATATCTAGGAGACATGTCTGTTGATTACCGTTGGTCCAAAGGCAAGTTTACAGATGCATTAATGCCGACAGTTCAAACGATGTTGCTCAGTAGACCGTGATGAATTGTGGCCACATATGGTACCTTAACCCTAGGTGTCCTTTATCTACTTTGATTACAGTGCCCAACTTAGTGCGGTAAGCTCCCTCAGCCAGTGCGTCAGCCAGTGCGTCAAGCAGGATCCAGGTGCAGGTCAGTTGTCTTTGACCTGTGAACGTCTCCTGACTGCTGTGTTTCTGTTGAACTGTACAGTGATGATGTTTGTTTGTAAACACTTCTCCAAAAAGGAAAAGAAGAAGAAGAAACATGAAGGAGGCAGAGAAGAACAAGGCTTCAGCTGAGAATCAGATCAAACTGCTTTTTCTGTGGATGCTGTAGCTGTTAATGACCAGGACCGGCTCCAGCAGCTAGTCGGTTAAGAACATCCTCCCACCCTTACTCCCTTTCCTCCTCCTTCCTTCCACTTGTCTTTCTCCTCATTCCCACTTCCCTCTGCCTCTCCCCCCTTTCTCCCCCCTCTTTCCTTTTTGCACCCATCCTCTCCCTCTTTTCTATCCCACCTCTAAACAACACCCACCACCGCAAAGTGGACACAAGCTCCAGCAGCTTTTTATTCAGTGTATTTATCTGTCAATTAATACTTGAATTGTATTAATTGTAGTATTTTTTTAGACACATACATGGTTAGAGGGAACTGGAACATGACTTTCATTGTTTCTTAGAAACCAGACTAAATGCTAATTGCTCTACAGGCTGCAGTGTAGTGCTCGTTACAGACAGCAAACAACAAACTGATGATTTAGCTGTTCTTAGAGCCTTACAAAACATAACGTTTGTCCTGAGGTTGGTGCTTGAGGATAGCTCAGGAGGTCACCAAAATCATAAGGATTCATCATCAGGGGAGCAGAAATATCCACAGTATGGAGATGGCCAATCGAAGACCACAGAAGAAGACATGGTGCATGACTATGTGGTGAAATGAAAATATGGTAACCTTGATGTGCCGCTGATCAATGCATGGTGCAGTGATCAGCTGTCAGCTGCCAGTGAAAACTTTCCTCAACGATTCTCATACATGCAGTGGTTGCAGCAATTTATAATAAGTGTCATGTTTTCCTTTTTACTTATACTGTATATTCATTTTGGTAGGTTGAGGGGAATGCACCATGGACGGACATTGTACCTCAATGCCCCCCTTGTCAACGGGCCAGGACTGTGTGCACTGTACGATTGCAAAATAAAGTATGTATTATGTAAATAAAACAAAACAAAAGCACAAACCACTAGCAAATAGTAGGAAAGGTAGCAGAAAAGCAAGGCTAAAGGAAACCATGAAAGGGAGGTCATTAGCAAATAATTAAAGTTCATTGCATAAAAGCATTTCAGTGGCAAACTAAGGTCCTGGAACAAAAAGTCTTAATGGTAAAGGCCGGATTGCTTCGTATATATTTGTGTTTACTGCTCGAAACTTGCATGCAGCTGTCGATTATTAGTCATTGGTTCACCTACTCCAGTTTTTTTTTCTCTACTTAGAAATATTGATTGTTTTAGCCTATCACTTGATTAAGTTCAACAGTCTGGTTGGTCCTTGACTAAATTCTTTCTTTTTTACTTTCTCAAATTCCCTTAACTTCCATCTACTTCCATTAGTCTGGATTCCAAGGATGTACTTCTACATAAATCTTGGACTCGGTCAAATATTTGCAATTGGACAGTTTACCTAGGAGATAAAGCCTGAAAGGAATCTGTTATTTCATTAATCATGCTAAGTTGGATTTTCAAGTGTCCGTGGGTCACTGTCTAAATTAGTTATATAACATTCATTTGTAACACCGTCTGTTGATTTGATTTTGTGTGATTACACATTTTGTAAAAAGATGTGGGACTCAATTCAAGCTTGAATATTGCCTTTGGAAACCATATCTCTTCAAAAGGCATCATTAAGCATTGAGTAAACAAAGAAGAACAACAGACCTCCCTTTGTTGCTTATCAGCCTGTGCTGCATTAGTTACAGGTGTCATTCACTGCTTCCTCTACAGCTGAATCTTTTTCTAGTCTCAGCGACAGAAGCAAAGATGGGGGATCAAATAAATATTTTTATCTGATTTTTCTGAGCGGTTGCACTTGGTAGCAGCTTGTGGATGTTTCACTGAAATGCTCATCTACTCTTTAAAACGCCATTTAAACTCCACAGATATTTGACATATCTACTTGAACTCCAACAGTGGCCAGACCCCAGCGCTAAGCACCAATGAACACAGAGAGAGACACAACCACCGCCACAATGTTGATTCATGTTGAGAGGGAATAAGATAATATTTTATTATGGTTCACAGCCAAAAAAAAAGTGAGTCAGCCACTATCTTTTTGTTCAACTTTGAAGTCTTTGAAGGGCGGGTAACATCCGCCGAAATAGCAATATCCGAGTCAGAGTTTTCATGCTTTGTGTGCTTCATTCTGTTTGGAGTTTTAGAGATGTTATATAAAAGTGAAAGAGGGGGATAACATATGTAGGCCACAGCTCATGCATTATATCCGAGCTGAACGCAAATGGCTGCTTTTGTGTGTGTGAGAGAAAAACAGAAAGAAGAAAAACAGCGTGTGCTTAATTGCAATTCGTTTGCATTGAAGGAATGTTACTATGGCTTATGTGTGGTTGCGTGTGTACTTGTGAATCTGTGTGTGTGCCAAGGAGAGTTTGGCCTTGCTGTACAATTAGTGCCACAGTCACTGACACAACACCGTGTATGAGGCAACATGCCAGTGCTTTGCAACCAGAGCTGTAACTGACTGTCTACATTAAGTCCATTGCTTTTAAGATCAGTGCTGCAACAAGGAAACAGAGAAGAAATGAAGACAGAGGGAGAGAGATTGCAGAGGGGCAGAGGATTTTGGAAAATTGGCCCCCTTTCACATTGTTACTACCATAAGTTACTAAATAGAGCAATTACATATAGATTTAGAGGACTGATAGGGACACAGAGCAATTAACTGCTTTATTACACCAAGTGTGGTTTACAGTCTGGTTTACAAGAGCTACAGTCTAGTGCGCATTACTGCAGCAAGGCTAAGCAGGGACAACTTGGAATCTCTATAAAGGAAATTGTTAGCAATGATAGCCCAGCTGACAGACCACCTCTGTTGGCTCCAAAATCGTAGAGCACAATCTCTTACCTAAATATTGAGTAATCCAGAGGTATTTTTTCCCTAAAACCGCAATATAGTGTGGGCACAGGCGTTAGGTTTAGTATGCGTGGCAGGGTGTGCTGGGGTGGATGCACAGACGCCTCCAGAGCCTCTCTGCCAGCAGACAGAGCCAGCTCCGGCTTGACGGGAGCAGCCAGAGTGTAGGGCTCTCAGTGGCTCTATCCGTGGTACTGCATCTCCATTGTGTTAGCCATTGGGCTGAGCGTCAGTACCTGGCGCTGTCCATGGTACCGGCCCTCCACTGTGCTGTCCATAAGGGCTGTCCATGGTACCGGCCCTCCACTGTGCTGTCCATAAGGGCTGTCACTGGTGCTGTCCGTGGTGCTGAAAATACATAGCTCAATGCTCTTTCCACTAGGCTCTGTCCATGGTACCAACTCTTCATTGTGCTGTCCATGGAGCTGTCCTTAAAACAGAGGCACAGACAATGGCACTATTTATGTTCTTGAAGCAGAGGAGGAAGAAGTATTCAGGTCCTCTACTAAAGTGCAATTAGCGGTAGCACAGTGTGAACTAGCCTACTGCATTACCAGTAAATCCTGCATTTAAAATAAATCTCTGTTAAATCTGCTATGACGGTTTCTTTTCTCATTTGAGGGCAGCGGAAACAAGTTGTGAACAAAGGACTGACATATCGCCTTTTAAGTGGATTTGGGGAAGTTGTTAGCAAATGTTTGGTTAGCCTATCATACATATATACTATACTATACAGTAGTGCACCACTGTCCTGCAGTATAGTTTTAATAGCATTTTTCTCAATACTTTTTTGCAGCGTAGTTTTAATCTTCCAGCAATAGAAAGAGCAGTATTTGTTTATAGTGAAATTTAGTAGTAATTACGTGATCAACATGTCTGGCCTCAAGATGGCTATAAAGTCCATTTAAAAAAAAAAATACAGGATGTGTAACCATTTCTGTGCCTCAAAAATGAGTGCTGCGTGAAACACGCACCTTTAAACATGTACGTTATTGTGCTAGATTTGTTGAGAACGGCAGACTCCTGATCCCACCGTAAAATAATCAGCAGAATAAAAAAAAATCACTATTGACAGCAATGATGTGCATGTGTGAATTATGTCTCTCTCACTGAAGGAATATATGGCTCAATCATTGTCAGAAATCAATCATGCACCATATGCAGTATAAAAAATCAATTAAAGACACTCTAAGCCGTGTTTTACACTGACTTTATGATGTGAAACGATTTATTTCGCGTACAGCACCAAGCTGTAGTGATACCACCCAAAAACCGCGACCTCAAGTGGCATATTGCTGACGTAATATCGATCATCTGAATGTTTCACTTTGGACAAAATCACTTGGAGTCGCACAGTGCGCACTTTTCCTTTCGCTCCTTTCCCTCTTTCTCCACCCATACATTCTCCATCCTCCGTTCCCCCCTGCAAGCATGCTGTGATCTACTTCGTGGCCAAAACCGAGAGCTTAACGGACTTTTTTTCTTTTACGACCAACCCCTCCTTCATCCATCCAGGCGTTAACTCAACGGATTTTATAGGAGCCCGTTTATTTTTCATCCCGGTGTTTGGGCTATGCCGTCAGTGCTGGTGAGCCTGGAGAGTATCGAGGAAACCTACCACAGGTGAAAAGAGGTTTTACGACGCTGCGGTATAGATGATTGAACACTTTGAGCATTAACTCAACGCAGTCTTCAGGCGCCAGTGCACCGCTCTTTTTACTGAAATATAGGACGAAATTGAGGTTAAAACACTTTAGGACAACTAAAGGGACGTTTACCAACTTGTGTTTCTGAACGAGTATAAAAATACTGCGTTATTTCCCAACTGGGATCCCTACGGAAGATGTGACCATTTCTTTTGCGCACTGGCAATCCGACTACCCAAAGAGAAAATCACGGCTTTTCCATCAGTTGCTCGATCTTGACATGTCTTTTTGTGGGATTACACGCGGAGATATGAGCATTGTAAGAGGCCGAGCTGGATTGTGAGATTACCCCCTTTGCTTTTTAATTTCTCTCTTCAAAGAGGAAGTGATCTGTTGGTTCAATGGCTTCAGTGTCGAGGTTGTCAAGGCGCAAAGATGCCAGCCGCTGGCCGAGAATGCCGTCAACTTTCTGGGCTGTGGTGCTTCTGACAGCGCTGCTGGTTCTCTTCTGCGGTAAGTCCCGGCGCTCAATTTTGCCCGCACATATCGGCAATGGGAAGCGTTGGACACAAAAACGCTGATGCGCAGCGGGTGACCGCGTCATGTGGAGACGCTTTGACAGCAACATTATGCAACTGGTATTGGCAATCGCTCTTAGCATATTGATCTCACTAGTTGTCGACATGTTATAACAGTTAGGCTATTGGAAAACACGCATGGGACTCATAACTGAGCGTTTCTTTATAGTGAAATGCACACACACACACACTAAAACCCACATACTCTCTTAATCTTTTCCTCCCTGCTCTCACTCAGGCAGAGGGGGCTTAGATAAGAAGGAAATGTATCTTATTGTCTAGTGAAAACACTGAGTTTGAACTCAAGTGTCCCAGAGGCCTAATTAGGTCCCCTGTGACTCCATTTTATTCTCACTTCTCACTAACACACATACGCCTGTCCTGAGGGCCATGTTACTGTCAGACTGACTTGCTGAGACCAGACAGTCTTGCGTCTGTCATATTGTCGCTGGACTAAACGCTGGTTTCAGGAGATGGAGCATCTAGAGAATTCACATGAGAGGCATAGGCTACTGTACAAAACTACACTTTTAATTCATGAATAAGCCCTGTTTAGTTTGACAAACTTACTCTTACTCTAGGCAGCAATTCAACTATTGCCTGAGGATAACCCCACCAGGCAAATTATGCAAGCACACACACACACACACACACACACTTTGGCCAGGGATGTCTTTTCAGTTCTTGTACCCTGGCACCCTCACACCTTCGCTCCCTCCTGCTTCCCTTCTCTGTCTCAAACTGACTCACTTATGAGGAGAAATCCTGCTGGCACACTGCGCTTCATTCTGCTATGTGTGAAAAACCGAGGCTATATGTGCAATAGCCATGATAAGCTCATTAAAAAAAAAAACAGAGCTATTTCATTAGCCACCGAGCTAATGAGTAATATAATCATCTTGTCTTCGAGCATATTAGCTATGCTGGTGTTGTAGAGGAATTAACAGATCCATTACATGATCATTTTCTAGAGTTTTCCTTATAGCTTCCACAGCTGCCCCTGCTTTTTTCCTTTCATCATTTTTTTTTTTTTTACATTGGACAGCAGATTGAGTTTGCTTTGTAATCACACACAGTCCCCAAGTTAATCAATGGTGGGTGGGGGGGGTATGCATGCACTTCAGAAGCGAAAGCTTCTGGATTGGGGGGTCTTTTCCTTCTTTTATGGCATCTTCGGCCATGTCTATTGATCCCCTGCTTGTGTCCAATCAATGGTGCTTGGATGTTTGTTTCAGTCAGCAGTCTTGGCCCACCCCAAACAACCTCGACCTCCTACCAAGCAACACTTCAACCCTTTTGGAACTTTTGAGCAATAGTGATTCTTTGATTTTGTGTATTTGCTCTTTCATAATCACATAATGCCAGACTCCTCTGAATGGTTCCGTCTGCTCAGTTTTGAAATGCTATTTGTGTGTTAACTGAGGCAGCTCTCTCTCTCCTTTTCTTGTAGGGTATATTAACTCTGCAGAAAAATGTTTCAGGGTACAGTACAATAACATGACTTAGGCGTATCTTTTTCCTGTTTTGTTACTACGGATATTTCTACATTAAACAAAGTTCCAGAGCCATTTTGGTTTCTCTTTTTTGTTCCACTATCTTTTATTTCTTCCCTTGTAGCGTTTTTCTTTGTGTTAGCTTGTGGTCTTTTTGTCTGATAAATCTCCAACCGTCTGAACTTGCAGCTCAGAAGATTTCCCTGCTTTCTCTTTTAGCTTTGTCTTCGTATCCATTTCCATTTGGTTTGACCTTCCTCATCTCTGCTGTCTTTCTGATTTGTCCTTTTTTTATATTTATCTCATCCTCTACTCAGACTCTACTTAGTTCTCATGTCCTTCGATGTCCAGTCAGCTGTCCGGTCCAGTTACATATATTTACTAATTCTTTTTTCTTTTCTGTCTTTATTTCCATTTTATGCTAATTATTTCTCAAATTTGATACTTCTCGTTCTTCTCCTCTTTGTAGCACTTGTTCTTTCATTCTCTCCCTGTCATTTTTGGGTCTCTTTCTAGGGAAGGTCTGAGCTGAGCTGACCACTGCATGTTACCTTATTGTGACTGAGGTCTCTACTCTCTCAGCTGTTTTTTCTCTCTCGTCATTTTTGTAGTCCGCTTTCCTGTATCCTCTTCTCGTCTCTATTATTCAGTTTTTTTCTCTTGTAGAGTTAATTTTAGCATTCCCACGTCCAAGAATTTATTTTGTATACATTTACGTTTTGATGACTCCACTGTTTTTGTTATTGAAAAATTTAGCTTATACTTTTTATTTTTGTCCTTTTCCCATACTGGAAATTGGCACAGACAGAAATATTTTCATGTTCCAATGTCTCTATTTTTGAGGGCTGCAGCTAACATTTGTTTTCAGTATTGATGCATTTTCCAATTATTTTCACAATTGATCATTTGGTTTATGAAACATTTTCTAGAGTTTGAGATAATGTCATCTAATGTCTCGTTTTATCCAACAAATTGTCCAAACCCCAAAGGTATTCCAGTTACTATAATGTAGGGCAAGGAAAAGCAGTCAATTATCCTATTTTAAAAGCTGGAACCATCAAATGTTGCATTATTGCTTATAAAATGTGAAATGTGAGTAATTTTCTGTCAATTGACTAATCTTAGCATTTGTACAATATTTATATATTAAATATATTCACACAATTTTATTGAATTTGCCTTTAAATTCTCAGCTAAACAGTTTATAGTATTTTCAAATGATTTCATATATATTCTACTATGATACATTTTATAGGGAAGAAACCCATACAGTTGGCTATAAAATGCTCTCTATATATGCACATGTACAATGTTTATACATATTAGCCATATGTGGTCCAGAATATGTAAGGGGTTGCAGACAATTATGCTTTTATGCAAATCTTAAAAACGTACTGGGCCATGTGGCCAATTACTTTGTTTTGGTGGCTTAGAGTAATATGTACTTTTCACTAAACTGGATGGCTCATGGTGATGTGTTGGAGTCTGTCAGAGACAAATAAATACTGTACATATTGTATAAATTTACATTCATGGTGTGTACTGTAAAGCTATTGTTTGTACCAAGGGCAATTTGGCTTTGCAGTGCTGCTGTGTTGTGCAGCCAAAGGGTGGGGGTTGAGGAGAGCTCTGTGATTATGACTATGACTCATATGGTGCCTGTCACCTAGAATCAACATCCAACTTCACACGATCTGCCGTCCTCACTCAGGGCCTTCTGAGAGGGAGAGATTGAAGAAGAGAGAGAGAGAGAAGGGACAGAAGTAGAGGCATTTGAAAGAGGTGAGAGCAGGAGATGGCTTGATATCGTCACTAATGCCTTGATAAGAAAAGGGAGAGGTGTGGGGAGAAAGAAAAGGGAGGAAAGGGGGAGGAGATGGGAGGAGGCAACAGGGAGGAAAGGCAGGGAATGAAAATTAGATTTGGAGGAAGGGAAGATAGAAGGAGGGTAAAGAGAGGAGATGAGTGAAGGAAAGAGAAGCCCTGCTGAGGGTGAAAAAGAATGCATGGTGGAGGCAAAAAAAGTGGAAAAAGAAAGCAAAGACAATCAGAAAGGAGACAAACATAGGGCAGAGAGAGAGGCACGCAAGATAAATGGCAACAGCTCAACAATTTAACTGCTCATATCGTGGTGGAAACTCTAATCACATGAGAATGCTCCAGTGCCCTCTGATTACATTACAACACAAAAAAAATAAAAGCATTGTATTCTGTGCACTAGCTCCCTCCTCTGGATGCTCTCTGCCATGCATTTGTTTGTCGACTGTTATAATGTATTCATGACGCTGTAGCCCTGCATGTGAGCTTGGAGGAAGATAGAGCCACAAGGCTAGCTAATCTGTATGCCAATCTTGGCCCGAGAGAGCTGAGGAATGTAGCCATGGCTGTGGTCCTGGTCTAAACTGCAAACGCAGAAAGAGGAAGGGATGAGGGAAGATAGAGTAACAAGCAGAAAGGGCAAAATGGGGAGGATGAGGTGGAGGAAATGACAGAGGAAAATAAAAGGAGAGGTCATGTATAACTCCTTTCTTATAGCAACCTTCAGTGTCAAAAATCTAGTGATTGCTGATTCATTCCAGACTTCAGTGTTATCCTGTGTACACATACACACCTACATGCACAGCCAGATGTTCGCGCTCGAGGGCAAACACATATATTAGAGAAAATTAATGAACAAGGCATCAAAGCAGGCACAAAGGTTACACTTATGCACAACTGTATCAATGCAGTTCTTCAGGGTCATACAGAAAAATGCAAACACCCATGACCTATTTGCACATACATGAGCATCACCCTGCAAGGATTTTGAGAATGCAAAAAGGTCAGACAAACGCATGCATGAACACACATTCCACTGCTGTCAGGGACAAAAGCTCTCCGCTGCTGCTTAAAGCCGCTCCCATCAGGTCTGTCAGCGTGGTCTTCTGTGTTTCCTTGTGCCTGTTTGTATATCACTCGCTGGTGTTCTACTGCTGAATCGCTGGATTGTTGACTGTTGCTGAGAACAGAAACTTGTGGGCATCCATGGAGGAAAGACGGTGTGACGCTCCCAGGCATCTCACCTCGCCGCTCAGAGAGCTCAAAACACATAATCACACATGGGTAGTGACACGGCGAGGCTCAGGTTTGTTTACACACACACACACACAAACAATCTCTGATCGGGATGTCTCGTTCACCAGTCGAGAAAAAGGGACTAGACTGACCTCAATAAACTTTAGAACTTGTGGGTGAACACGTGGACATATTTGAATATCTTATCTTATTTTCAGCATAGCCTCGAGCCTCTTCCTCTGCAGGGAGGGAGACGGAGAGAGGAGCCACTGTCAGGAAGCAGCAGAAAGGGCTGCCAATGGCCTTGGGCCGTAAATTCATAAAGGGAGTCAACCTGTAGAGTTTTCCACAGAGAAAGCAAAGAGCCACATTACGGACCCCCGGAAAT